ATGAAATTCGTCGTGTTTCCATCGTAGTGCTGTGAGGCGCCGGTATCGAGAAGACGGATGGATTTCCCACCGGATGCGCGAAGTGCTCTGTCGGGAATGGCTGCAGCGACGTACGCATGTTGTTCGTTCGCATCGGATGGCTTCTCCTCCGCTGCCGCTGCCTTGCCTTTCCCCTTCGCGGATCCCTTGTCCTTCTTCGGAAGCGGGATGCCCTCCATGTCGCCGCCCGGTTTCCGGCACTCCTCTTTGGTGTGGCCGGTATATGAGCAATTTGCGCATTTCTTCTTTTTCAACTGCTGCGGCTGCTGCTGTCTTTGCTGCTGCTGCTTGTGGCGCTCGAATTTCGCTGCCATGGCCTTCGCCTCCTCGCGCTTGCGATTCGCCTGCGCGACGTCGAACTGGATCGCTTCCTTGAGCTGCGCGCGCACTATATCAAAATTTAGCGGCGCACCCATCGTCGCAGCTGTGGTGACGGTGGTAAGGATAGTGGAGCGATACGTGGAGGGCATAGCCTTGATGAGGAAGGCGGCGTAGACGTCGTCGGGGAGCTGTCCGCCGGCGCTGATGTACTCATTTCGTTTCTTGATGAAACAGTCGATGATGGCGAGCACATCTTCGTCCTCGTCGCCAGTGCACTCGATGCGTAGGAGATCGACTAGAATGTCGACCATACCGAGGACGCTCTTGTTCTCGAAGATTGCGCAGAGCTCGGACCAGAGCTTGTGGACAGGACGAACACCGAGCAATTGCTGGTGGACGTCATCGGGCCAAGAGTTGGTGAGTATGCTCGCAATAGCTGCTTGCTTCTGCAAATACTCGTCCATCTCGTCCTCGTACTTGTCCACTGCCTCTTCGTGTACCTCCTTCTGAGCTTTCGTAGCATCATCCTTGAGGTCTGCAGGCTTGATAGGCTGCTTTACACGACCCATCAAGTGCTTGCGGAAGCCCGGTTGGCCAACCAGAAACTCGGCCATCTTCTCCTTGTAGGAGACGAAGTTCGCTCCCCCTTGAGCTAGCTTGGGGGTAGCGTGTTTTCCTGTCGTGCTCGACAGTGCGAGTTCTGATGCCATGCCGGTCGGGGGTCCAATAACCTGTTAGCGTAGTGCCTCAGTTACGGAGCAAGAAGTAACTCTATTAATATATGTAGTACCTGTTAGCGTAGTCTACAGGATAATCAGTAAGGTAAGTATTGAGAGAAAATATATCTACGTACGCCTCAGTTACGGAGCAAGAAGTAACTGAGGCTGTGTGCTGTCGCGTAAAATTATGAAGGACTGTATGAAGGAATGAAGGTTGGGATGATGGGATGAACGAATGTATGTATGAGATAAGATAGATAAGATATACCGCTAACACATTACTACGTGGCTTGGACTTACATGTTGTGTTGCGGCCATCCACACCATTTTTTTTTCAACAAATCCCACCGTAAAAAAAACTTAGAAATCAGTAGGTCACCTGTTGTATTGGGGTATTGCGGTAGCTCAAGTATGTATCCTTTCCGAGTGAATGTAGACCGATGAGAGGAAATCGCCCTGCATTCTAGAGAAAATTCAAGGTCGCCCGTTGAACCCGGCTCTAAGATCTGAGCCATTTGCCAGTGGAAAGATCTGATCCTCTTTGCTTAAATATTGATTTCGGTATTTTACGTCTGAAAGTGTATCATCCGGCAGCCACTCGTGCACCGTGCGCGCGAGCCGGTACAAATGCAAGACGCGCTGTTGGTTACCTCACGTGGTCACTGCCGGCAGCGACCATGCCGCGCGAGCCCGCAGCCCGCGCATCTACCTCTCACCCGCCAAAAGCATTTCGCTGTACGCGGTGTTTCCTCTGCTTCCAGCTCGCCGAAGCTTACAGCATATCCAGCCGAAGCCCGGAGTACAGACATTCACTGGGACGCCCAAGCTCGTACGTGTCCGTCCGGCCATCATTTCCTCCCAAATTTCTCCATACTCATCCAGGATGTTGCAATTGTCTCCCCCGCTTCGCGAGCCTCGCCAGACACCAGCAAACCGTCGCTTAAGCGTACGCTCGCCGCAAGGGATGAAGTCCCTGCGCCCGCCAAAGAGTCCGCATACCCGCATAGGCTCTCCTCGCGCGCGGGACGGGGTTGCGGCCGCCGACTCTGCAGACAAGTAACTCCAAGTCTGTATTTACGTCTATGGTATTTCTCAGCACGCGCACGAATGCCAACACGAGTACAAGCACGAGCCGAGTGACACGATACACTGGCAGCCGACGCTCCCCTGATCTTTTACGCGCCCGCGCTAGCCCGCCGCGCGTTCTACTTCTCGTGAAGTCCGCACCCATCTCGCCGTCCGCATCAATGATGCGCTAGCTCCCCACCCCCACGCACTTTCCCTCCGAAAAAGCAGCTCCGCGGCGTCATCACCAGCAATCCCACCCCATGCACACGCACACATCTCCTCGACGGCGCTCCACTCGCACCTGAAGACCATTGAAAGCGCGCGTTCGCAGGACGCCGCGCGGCTCACCAGCCTCCCTGAGTCCACTGCCGCGTTTGGCTCGTTAGTACCAAATGATATCTATATTTTACTTCTCCTTCCTGCGCACCATAGCCGCCTCCTCGCGCTCAAATCCTCGCTTCTCTCTTCCAAACCTACGTGCACTAATGCGGAGGATGAATCCGCGTAGTTGCGACGACGGCCGTAGAGAGACGTCATCGCCCGCGCGCAGGATCTCGAAGCATCCTGGCGCGCGCCTGCTGGTCAGCTCAGCGCGGGCGGTGTGCGGCGGGAGTGCGATGACCAGCCAAGACATTTTTTGAACAGGTGCGTAACTGGACGAGTATAATTTTTTAGGACTCGTAATTACAACCACACTAACTGTGTAGGCGAGGGAGCAGAGGAGAGCATACGGACGCGGGCGATGAGAGGTCTCTTTCCGTGTCGTTTCACATCTTTTTGAAATAGTATCTCTTTCCGCGTCGTTTCACGTCTTTTGAAATACTATTTCAAAAAGATGTGAAACGACACGGAAAGATCCGAGCAATCGTGAGAATTTGTGGAGCTGATGCAGCCAACGGGAGCGTGGTAAAAATACTACATGATCGAGGCGGACAGACATTAGCGTTTTGAGACCTGGTATCCTACGGAACCAGGAATTTTCGATGTCTCGCACTGCTGATCTATGTGCCGCCAACGGAGCAAATCAAGCCTTGAACCTCGTGAATGATCAGTTTTCTTTCACTTACGCCAGAAAACAAGAGGATAAATCCAGGTTCGAAAAAGACGTAGATCACGGCGATCCTCCTATAGTAATGATAGTTCAACCTCTGCGTAAGAGGAACTTGAAGGCGGGGGTTCGATCCCCCCCCCAGGGTATTCGTCCACGCTCAAAAAAAATTTAACGAGTCCCCACAGTTCGCAAAGTCGTACGCCTAGAACGGTACTCGGGTGGCGCATCTCCGTCGTCGTCGTTGGGTTCCCTCTGCACACCGCAGAAGCGCTGCCGCTCAACCGCCATCATCATGACCTGCAACTGCAATGCGCGCATCTCTTCTTCCAAGCGCGGAACTGTCATTGTCTCCGCATTAGCGGGGGGCGCCCAATCTGGCGGAGGACTGTCGGGCGGGAGTGGTCCGACGTCAGCTGTTTGCAGAGTCGGAGGTAATGCGGGGACAGGGCCCTTCTGCCGCATGTTTGGGGGCATAGATGCTCTCTCAGCGTGGTGGCTTTCGTTCTTACCAGAAACCACGTTTCTGGTCTCACCAGAAACCGCGTTTCTGGCTAGGAACGGCCGTCCCCGCACCACACTGGCCGCCGACGCAGTACGGCGCTTGCGATATAGGAAAAACGCGACGCACGCCATCAGAATGAGCGTCCCCATCAGCAGGCCGACTATGAGCGCGACTGGTGGACGGTTGGCGCCGCCCTCCCCACCTATTATCGTTGGCGGGGTAAACGAGAGCGGCGCACTGGACGTGGGTAGGAGACTTGACGTGTGGGTAGCGTCGTCGGTATGGATGTTTATGGCCCTGGCTGCGCTTTCCCCGCGAGTGCTTGATGGGGGGGAAGACCTGGAGCTGCTCGGCGGTCGAGCTGTGCTTGCGACGTCGCCATCGCCGGAAGGCGGTTGCGTCGCCTCAGTCGCACTGTGCCTGGTGGGAGATCTGTGCCTGGTGGGAGATCTGTGCGTCGGGTCGGGAGGATCCACGACCGGGGGTGATGAGCTAGGTGGTCCTGGTGTAGTTCCGGGATTGCATCCCAGTATGCCGCACGGGAGGTCCGTTGGTCCTGGTGTAGCTTCGACAGTGCTGGAGGGTTCTGGGAGGTTCGGGAAGATGAACGTGAACGCGCGTATGCGGGGGGCGGAGGACATAGACAGCGAAAAGAACGTGGGTGGGCAAAGAGCCGTTGAGCGCGATGAGGGAAAGGAAGAGGCCAGATAGAAGTCATCGCAGCGCTTGTTTTGGCGCCGAAGTCCTCATGAGCAGTATCCGAATAGGATACATTAAATAGCAGAATCGGATGGGAATCAGCTCCTTGACGTGATCATGATGAAACGTGGCTCAACTATAGGTCAGCTCATTCAAGTCGCCCAGTAATACGGCCTGCCAACCTAATATTAGGATAGTATTATTTCACAGTTTACTCGAAAAAAGGATCATCAATGGCCGAGCGCTTGTCCTGGCTTAACATTGACTCCGTAGTTCTCACACGCGCAGAGAAGATCATGTCAAAGGGATAAACAAAAGGTGCCCCTAGATTTCCTCGAGGCTACCACATTTTTTCTTCTCGGTCACTAGAAAACTTGAAATAAATGATTATAAATACAGGTTGAAAAAGCTAGAAGTCTTTGACAGATGAATGGAAGTAGACCTTCGTAGACCTTGGCGGTCGTCCTGCATAGATATGGGGAGAATATGGATCAGGAAGGCTGCCTTCAATTCCCCTCGAAGGCACAGAGTTGCTCTTCCACTCTTTTTTTTAGCCGGGAAAAAAGGGCAATAAATACAGGTTCATAGGAAGGGAAGTAGAGCCTTTGTGGCTATGGTAGTGGTCCTCAATCTGTAGGGGAACAGGTTCGCATAAGACGAACGAGGGGCGAGGGGTTCGATTCCCCTCGAAGGCATGGACAATTGGTGATCGTGATCTTTTGTCCCCAAGCCAGAAGAAAAGCTTAGCATAAGGCCTGGTCATAGAAGCAATCAAGCCTTCGTTGCCGTGGTAGCTCATTAACAGTGAAGCCCACAAGAATGATAAGAGGAAAGTCGTGGATTCGAGTCCCTCGGAAGGCATTAAATACGGCGTCGTAGGAAAAAAATGGGGCCTTCGTGGATCACGGGGGTTGTTCTCGGCCCATAAGTAGAACGAAGAGGCCGGGGCCACGATTCCCTCGAAGGCACTGCGTACTCCGCTTCTCCCCTTTCTGTTTTGCCCGGCCGGCAAGAAAAACCAAGTATAAGGGTGAGTTGAACTGAGAGGAAACGAGCCTTAGTCACGGCACTCCTGTACATATAAGCCAGAAAACTGTGCGATAGGAAAAAGGCAGGGGTTAGAATCCCCTTTGGGGGTCCAGAGACCAGGCCCTCGGAACTATTTAAGAGGACATATTGCGCCTTTTCTAACTGCCTGGCTCCCACGTTCCCGAGAACAGTGGCACATCAATGCATGGCTGCACAGCTTCCGTTCCCTGCCGCACAACTTCCAGCCCACCGGGGTTCTTGTTGTGTTCCTATGTGCGATGTTTAAGCCGTCGGGTGCGACTTTTTTTAGTGCTATTCCTATTTGTGTGCAATATACCCAAATGTGTAGAGCAATATTAATACCATGTGAACGGCCGGTTTTTGAGTAAATCTTAGGCAAGTTTCATGCTCAGCGCTGCCAGCGCAATGAAAAGACCCGAAGTTCTTTCTGTAGGCCGATAGTTCACTCAATATTTTGGGACATGTGAATGAAGAATGTTGTCTCTTCACCTTAATGGCAGTCATCTGATTGCTACGAGTACTAGGACTAGTAATTTAGAGTACACATTGCGTTCAGAGGGTCCCGAAACCAGTTTTTGTCTAGCCGTCTCGGCATTGACAGGCGGACTTAGACGCGCACGTGGGTTTAAGCGGCATAGCAACGGTTGTCTAGACCGGTGTATGCCGGTTAAGCGGCTCTCGCCGTGCCTGCAGCTGTTGAGGTCCGCGAGACAAGAGCAAGTGTAGACAGGCAGAACATGCCTCCGTCTCTGTCGTCTATGTGAGCTAGACCCGTCTCAGAGGTTCTCAACCGGTTTCAGGTCGAGCCGATCGTGACCGGTCCGGTCTAGGCAACTAAGCGCATATAGACCGGTGATCGACCGATCTAGACCCTGTCTCACACATTCTCCATTTTTAGGGGTTTAGGGACCCTTTGAACGCAGTGACAGGTTACAGATTGTGAGTAGTGCCATCGTTTTCTGGATGCTGCCACATTGCTGTGCCGGTGACATATGAGCGGACACGGCAGCATTGCGGACCTGAAAATAGGTCTAAAACACCTGTACATATCATTTGCTGCCGACTACACTAATCATGCAACCAAGGACACAGCCATGAACAACTTGGGGTAAAGGGCCGTGGCTGGGCCCGGCATGTAAACTCGTACTTCCTTTTTTTTTCTTTTTCTTGTAAGCTCCGGACATCAAAATAAATGGCCTGTAAATAAAGGGACGAATACAAATAGCATCCATAGAACAAACAGCGTAGGTGAACACCCGCATAGCCTATACATATTTTTTTTTAAATGGGATGAATGACGGCACTGGTCCCAGCCGGAATATGTGGAAACTTTATCACAAGCAATGACATGGTCAACTTTTACAATTGAATCCCGAACAGCCGCCAAGGCTCCAAGAGCGAACAAAAAAATAAATCCTGTGTACATTATGAACTAAGTTGAGGCGGAAATAATCGGGCAGGAACACAGGGTAAGGCCACCGCAGAAAAATCAAGGGCTACTTGGCATACAGACACCAGTAACAAACCCGCGTAATTGTTTGATTGTCATTTTTTCTGTGTAGCTGGGCAGAAACGATCAAGTCAGTCTGGCATACAGGACTCCGACGGCTTCTCCAATATCACCCTTTACATTACATGTATTCAAAAATGTGGGGGGTAGCACATGCAGTAAACCATCCTGTTCGCAAGTTGAACCGGTCAGCATTCCATCATGGTACCATAGTGCGCCGTTTGGCTTGACCAATCGAGCGGTGAAGTGTTGTTTTGTCAAATAAATTACGCCTCGAATGGCATACCTATGATTTGGGTTCCTAACTGGTAAATTAATTGCTGTGTCGTAAGTTATATTATTGTCTGAAACTGAAAAATATAGGAACGGAGGGGACACAGTTAACAAAGTGTGCTTGCATAAATTCGAAGAGCACAAAGGACACTTATAGTCAGCGGTTGAGAACATCCTGGCAGCGAGGAATTGTGACAGGTAATGAGGGACTGTGGATACAGACGTGGGAGGAACAACGACGTGATAGGCAGAGAAGCCTGGACGAGGAGTCACCGTATTGGGTGGGCATATAGGACAATGGAAGAACTCGGTTGCGAAATAGGTGGGGCCGAATATCTTTTCAGCTAGATGATCGATTGAGGTGAGTGTCATGCCAGTGGGAAACAACACAGAAAATGTGCAATCAGTAAGGTTCTGGCAGTGTCTCTGGCTTTTTCCAAGGAGCCAGATTTTCCTCTGAATTTAGAGAAGCCTACGGAAAGGACCTCCAGGTACTTGGTCTGAGCGGCGAAAAATTCGGACCATTTCGAAGGATTCTCCTGCCATATATCATACAGTAAAGTGAATAACGCATCGTAAGCGCAGCTATAATTTCCATTATCCCACATAGTTGCAGAGGGTTTGATCACTTCGGTTTGAAGGCGGGCTTTTTTGCATGGTTGACCGCCCTGTTCATTTTTTTTGCGTTTAGGTTGAGAAGGTGCTTTCGTAACCTCCTTGACTGGCTTCAAATCTTTACCGACAAGGGACCAGGAGCTGACTATTTGAACCGGAGGCATTTTCGGAGCGTCTCCTGTTCTCCAAGTAAGAGCCGTGTGCAGGTCACTGGGGTCATAATCGGTTCCCCGATATTCTTGATAAGAACGCAGCAAGTCAGAGCGTGTTACACCCGACACAAATGCAGGAAGAGTGCACATATATTTACCTCTAGTTATTTCGTTTAAGAGTTCGAGTTCTCTGAACTCTTGGCGTAAATATCCAGTTATACCTTTTGTTATAACTTTAGTGGCGAATGCTTGTACAATGGCAGTCCCTTCGGCTGATGAACTTCGCGATAGACAAGTGTAGTACGAAAAGTGAGTTTTGCAGTGTTGAAGATCCACTACATTGTAAATTCGGATCTTCCCTTGGGACGCATAATCGGTCATAGCAAAATTGGGCAACACCAATATTTGTTCGCGAAGGATGGCGACGATCATGTCATTAGGGAAAGAACACCAGACACGTTTGGAGGCTCTACTAAGCGCGACAATATTTTTCTCCAATCCAGGGATATTTATTTTTCGTGGTGGATCAATGAGTTTAACGAACAGGGTATCCAATATGCGCCTGCCGTGTTCATCGTATGTGTCTTGCCGGCCAGCTACAGTGCCTTCCTGCCCTTTAGTGATTCAGAGCTCGGTAGCATCATCGTTTTTAATCATAACCGGCATTCCAACACATAAGCTAAGTTTTCCAGCAACATGCTCACTTGTGCATGGATGGGCCTCAGAAAGGGTGTTGCGTTCCGCTTCAGACATGTACTGGAAAGATGGGAGTTTCTTTTTATGCCTGTTGTTCGGATCTAATCGATCAGAGGTGCTAGCCGCTAAAGTATCTACTGAATAGAAATCAGGGGTCGTACCCATCTTCATCACTTAGTTACTTCGCTTAGAAGCGAGAAAGTTCGTGAGTTTGATGGAAAAGTGTGAAAGCTCGTGACTTTGAGCAATATCTGAGAAAGCTCGTAACTTCAACCAAGGCAGCCTTCACAATCTATTTTCGTTCCCGCGGAAATTTATATCCCTCAACCCTAACACCCTATCCCTAACCTCTAACCCGAACCCTAACCGGTGAATACCCGCAGTTAGGGTGCGCTGCGCTTGCCCTAACTGCTCGAAATAGGTTGCATGTGGATACAGAATTGATGTCATCAAAATGAGAAAGCTCGATCACCCATCACTCGTCCCAATTGAGTTCACAAAGAATCCTCATGGTTTTCACTGGCAGGCAGTGGTTTCGCCGGCATCTACCGCATGTATTTACTTTTGTTTCATTTATTATATGCAATAGAAACAAGAAATAACGACGAGTTCCCATCAGCACTTGTCATTTGGCACGCGGAAAAAACCCTAATCAATGGGGTCGAGAAACAACTGGCTCCCTTGTTGGTATCACCAGCAAAATAGCCTCTATCCGCATTCCATTTTATTGAATGCCAATGATTGCCAGTGGTTTTCACTGGTTACTCGTGGTTATTCTCCATATAAAACCAATATAGGTGTACCTGACGCTGTCTAGAAATTTTGATGAGGCTTTAGTGACCTCCAAGAATTTTTTAGTGGCTGATATTGTGTCAGTAAACCATAATTGCCAGTGGTTGCCGGTGGTTTCCGATGGTTAGTACTAGCCTCTATTGTGTGATTTATTGGACATACATTGACTGTAATTAATTATGGTGACTCAAAAGACTGAAAGCTCGCAAAAGCCCATGTTAATGGTTCTCATTTGGCTTTTGATGAGAATGAATGCCATCGGAACCCAACGGCAGCCAGTAGGATCTACTGATCTACGGCCAAAGCAGGGCCACATTTATCAGCGGGATTGGTGGATCTCAGCCAGTGGAAGCCAGTGGAGACCAGCGGCGACTCAAAGACATCAATGGCGGCTATTGCGGGCCTTCGGCCCGCACCCGCACGTGCACTCCGCGTATATTACAGGAACTTTCACAGAATCCCATCAAAGTCACGAACTTTCGCCACGCTAAGCGAAGTAACTAAGTGACGAAGATGGCGCGGACTCAGAAATCAGTGAGCTGCTGACCTGTGTCATTAGCAAATCTGGCCCACCCCAGTTGGTTTCATTTATCCTTCTGGGAATTCC